AATTGGTTATTTGGTGTGTGACATTGGGCAAGGAACTTAATTTTTTAAAGTCACTATTTCCCCTAGGAAAATGGAAATAGGTAGTAATAGAGCCTATTTTATAGGGCTGTTTAGAGAATTGCCATAATGTATATAAGCCACTTAATCAAATATTATGTATTCAACATTTTTCTTATCTGTAAAATAAATAAGAAAAATGTTGCAAAGGGAACGCATTCAGGCTCCCTGGTCCACCCCTAGCTACATACTAGGAGTGCAGTGTGGACTTTGGGTCTTAGTAGATGGTATTGCATTCCAGGTCCAAGAAATGCCTCAATCTCACCCTCCCACTTACCCCTTTTCACACAGAATTTTGACAGAGGGAGGTATTTGAAAAGGAAAACAGCTAGAGAGGGAAAATACTCCATATGCACCTCTCAAGATGGGGCTTTCTGGCCAAGGCTGATTCATAAAATGTGATTTAGATCTTAAAGCTTAGGTGGGACTTCTGCTTCCTACCCCTTGAATCAAGAGCACCTTGGCTGGGGCCGGCCGAGTGGCTCGGTTGGTTAAGAGCTCGCTCAAAAGTGCGAGCTCTGAGCAACAGGGTCGTCAGTTTGATTCCCGGCCCAAGCTGAGCTGCCGCTGAGCTGCCAACAGGTGGCAGGATGGCTCAGCTAAAAAAAAAAAAAAAAAAAGAGAGAGAGAGAGAGAGAGAGAGAGCGCCTTGGCTGAGGTGCCTCCTCAGTAACCAATAGAGATGGGAAGTAGAGACAACAAGACATGGCCAGCTCAGGGCAAGGCAGTAGTAAGACTGGGGCAGGAGACAAAACTGGAGGTTGCTGCCCTGGAACCGATCTTTAAACCAGGCTCCCCTAGACCACATTGTAAAACGTGGCCCAATGCATGTCCTGGCCTCTGACCAAAGAGATAAACAACTCTTCCTCTCTCAGAGTCAGAGAGGGAGCTGAAAAGTCATCACTGCTGTAGATCCCTTCTCAAAATGATCAGTCTTTTGAACTAGAGCTGCTAGAGTCAACAAATAGAAATATAGGACACCCAGCTAAATTTGAATTTCAGATAAGCAAAGAATCATTTTTGTATTATAGTATAATAATGTCAAATATAATATTTGGGACATGATTATATTAAAATATTATTTGCTGTTTATCTGAAAATCAGCTTAACCAGGCATCCTATATTTTACCTGGCAACCCTATTTCCATAGTTGTTTAAGGTCAGTTTTGTGATGATTCACTGAGACTGAGAGAAAGGCTTCAGAATTGGTTTTGAAACCTTGGCACTATGGATATTTGGGGCTGGATGCTTCTTTGTTGTGAGAGTTGTCCTGTTGAAAGGTGTTTATTTGCATTCCTGGCTTCTACTCACTGGATGCTAGTAGCACCTGCCCCCTCTCCGTTGTGACAATCAGATATGTCTCCAGACATTGCCAAATGTCCTCTGGAGAAAGGCAAAATCACCCCTGAGAACCATGGCTTTAGAGGTGGCAAAAGCAGGATTGGGAAGCCTGACACCATGGTAGACCAGAAAGAGGCCCTTTTATCTAAACAATGACACAGGTTGTGCCCCTCCCTGCATTCTCACCTCCTCTGCACAGTCTGGGCTCCTTTCCAGGAATGTTAGGAACTGTGTAGACCTATGGAGAGGGGTCCAATAACATAGTTTTAATCCCATGTGGATTATCATCACTGAAAAATCATTCTTTGTTTACTTTCCCTTTCTACACAGCTCACACGAGGCTGTATATGACAATTGTTTAGGTTTAACTCAGATACCTTCTTCAAAGAACACCCAGCACATTGTTAAACCAAGTACTTCCATTTCCTCAGAGGTCATCAGTTTGGGTAGCCTGGGTGACTTTAGCATTTAATGGGCAAAACTTATAGTCAAACGACCTCACTAAAGTGTACATATTATTCTTTTGCTCCACATTGTAGAGGTAGAAACTTGGAGGCATTAAATAATGAATTCTGTCCTTTAAATATTTCCACCTACACATTTATCCTTGAAAAAAATGCTAATATGCCTTCACATGATATTTCCTATCTGTAAAGTTTCCCTGTCTGAATATGTTTTCATATTCAGGTGGCTGAGTCAAACTGAAGTGGCTTTTGCTTTCTTAGCTTTGATTATGCAGCATTGATAATTAATTTTGTAGGCCTACCTGCCTACAGGTACTGGGAAAATTTCATTAACAAGTTACATGTAACTTGTTTTTTCATTGTTTTCCATATTTTGTAGGATTTTAGAGAAGTAATGGTTTTATAAAAAGCCATTAAGCAGAGCAAAGACAATGTACCTATCAGGTTATATTGCTGTGGGGAAAATCTCTGTTCTCAATTCCCTATAAAGGTTGTATCTTCTCAAATCTCTTATCTATGTGCTTCCTTAAATAGGAATGCTCTTTCCCTAAGAAGCCCACCTTAAAGAATAACATTATCTTTATTTGTAATCACAGGCCTTCGTCATTGCATAAAAACCCTGATCCTTCTCAGATTCTGATATTTGTGTTTAATCAATAACCACATTCCTTTTTCATCTATCTTACCTCTGCAATTGCATTTTCCCAGCCACGCATGTTTTATTGTGTAAGAATTCAATTGAAAGAGCCATTCATGTTTGCAAAAAGGATGATGTTTTATTATTGGTTATAAAGAAAAGAAATTTCACACTTTGTATAACCGACCCTTCTTGTTATAGCACAGTGAATTGTGAAAGTGGGCAACAAGTTAACAAACCATGGAGAGAGGCCACAGAAAAATTGTGTAATATTCTGACCACGTTATAAAATAAGACACGGTAATTTTTATGTCTCTAATTGACAAGCATCCAATTCACATTTAAAATGCATAATCTTTGTACAATTTGTGGGTTTGTAGATGAGAAAGAATATGGGGATGATGTTCAAAACATTTAGCAGCAACCTGGCATGACCTGATCAGTGATGCCAAGTACCATATTATTGGGATAGGATCCCAGAGCCCTCCTGCAGGTCCATGTGCTTTTCTGAGTGACTGGACCATGGGAGGTGCACGGGTGCTTAGAGAGGGGCCAGGATGGCTGGAGGCATGGAGCAGGCACTAAGGAGGTTCAAGGTGTAATGATTTATGAGCCATTCTGGTGGCATTTTAATATCTGAACAATTGGAACAGTTGTACTGTACCACTCTGTACCAGCCGGACTAAGAAGTGGAGAGTGATGAAGTGGTGCAGGGTAGTTAGAGAATTAGAACACCAGTTAAAGTTCCTGATACTGCCATTCACTCACTGCATGGTCTTGGATAAATCAGTTCTTGGAGCCTCTGTTTTCTCTTATGAAAAATGAGAATATTGAATAAGAACAACCTTAAGTTCCTTTCCTGTTCTAAGGACCTAATCCACCACAATGATCTGGCAGTTCAATGCATAGAGTGCAGAGATGTCTCTGAGCTTCTGAAAAGCAGCAAGACTGAAGTATTTCATGAGAAACATGGGGCACACACATGACTGTGGTCTGTGAATAACATGATTGTAAAGAGGAAGGAAGCCGGCATTAACCACGGATGCACTGCGCTCTCAGGAGCAAGACAAGAGCTGGCAAATGCCTTCTTAGAGGCAGCCTGAAAATATTTTTTTAAAGATTAATAGTTTTCCGTATTTGGAGGAATTTACTGCAGAATAGAAAAATGTGTTCATTCGCTACAGAAACAAAACAAATATTGCTTTTGCCTGAAATTACTTAAGTCAAGCAAAAAGGTACTTGGAAGTGTTTTGTTATTTGCCTAGATTGCAAAAAGTTCCCTCAACTCTCCACTTCGCCTTTGTGTCCTTTGTTTGGTTATTGATATAGTATCCTTTTTTGGTATGCAATGAATATATTGCAATATCACCATGGGAATATACAAGCACACATTAATGAGCAATGTCATGTCTACAGAAAGTAAAGATGATTCTAAAGTAACCAACCTAGATGTTTTCCCCAAATATTTTGTTTTAATTTGGTTGAGCTGAAAATTACTCCCTAATTTATATCACATATTTTTTTAAAAAATTATAAGTATGAGGAAGTGCTCAACATAATTATTTATTACTTCAATTATCAGAAAAAGAGAAAAGCACATGCTGTATTAGGAAACTCCAGTGCTGAATAAGTACATGCACATGTATTTCTGTGGGGTGACAGTTTAGTAAGATGAACTGATCCTGTTTTAATATCTTGTTACTTATTATACCTGACAAATAAAAATGAGGAAAATGAAGAATTGATTATCGAGGGTCATTTTCTTGAAACTTGCACATAATTCCCATTTATGCTCATTAGACGAAGAAGAGCCTTTCTATAACAAATTGAGAATATGCATAACCTGTTATGACATAGTCATAGACATATAATAATATGGTCTAGAATTATAGTACTCTCTCAAAGTACATCATATTCAAAATTCACTGGAGATGTCTTAAAGACATCTGTTGTAATTACAGGAACATGGTTTCTAATTCATTTAATTCCCTTTTCTACCTAAACTGTACATATAAGTGAATTTTAAGAGACTGTATAAATAAATTTTTAATTACAAAATGATGTTATACAATACATTATTAATAATAACCAACAATGCATAATGTTTATGCATGAGTCCATTAGAAAGACAAGCTAAAGTATGTCACTTCTAAAAGAATGCACTAATTTGTCCTGAATTTGTGAATGAAATGGAACCCATGATGCAAGCCAATGAGTGCAGTGACACAGAGTGGTTTAGCATGCTGTTGTATAGTCAGGAAACATCCTGTGCCTGTGGCATTTAAGAGGTATTTAAGATTTGTTCATCACATGTGGTCAAGATCCTATTTTTCAGCGAGCCATGCAGTTGTGAAATTTGAAATAAGACCATTGAGTTGACAATACTAGCTTTCTCAGACAGATGTAGAATAAAATGGACTATAGCATTCAAGAAATGTGCACAATCCTTACATTTCAGCACAGGAAAATCAGTCTTACTGTAATTGAATTTCCCTGTGAGGTCAAAGGGTCTGCTGGAACATGGTTACTTTGTTGCATTAGCGATAACACATTTCTGAAATCTCCATGGCCAGCTCCAGACACTCGCTGGTCTCGTGGCAAGATTCAAAAAGGCTGCAGTCCATGTCACAGTTGCAGTTGCAATCATTCCTAGAGTGGCTTTCGTCGGAGGTGTGGTAGTACCTGTGAGAGGGGCAGCACAAGTTGGTACACACCGTTTCACACGTATCAGGGAGCATCAGGAGACAATCCCAAAACTGGCAGAACAGACAGGTGAGGATAAGGGAGGCACACTCCTCTGTTTAAAGAAGAAGAAAGAAAATTAATAGTGGCACATATGGGCTCATCTGTGAAGGGCAGGCATGTGCAGTGGTATGCTTGATAACCAACTTTATCGCCAGCTCTTAGTTATTTATTCACATTAGGAGTAATGTACATCATATTCTCTCAAGCTCCCCAACCCCCACGCAGTACTTACTCTATTTAAGTAATTGCTTTATTAACTTTTTGAGCATTTCCTATGGATTCCACATAATCTGGTTATTTAAAGTGCTGTCACTTTTCTAAACTCCTTTATTTACTTTGTCTGCAGAGGTGCTGAGAAGCACCACAATTAGCTCTACATTTGAAAACTTTGCAACTGTCTGAAAAATAGCAGCTCCTCCCCACGTGCAGGGAGTGTTCAGGAGGAATTATAGTCGGGGACAAGGAGAGATTACAGATTTCTAACTTCTTGTCACAAGGCTTTCTTGTTTGTTTGATGTAGAATCCCATAAATTTGCCATACCCATATTCAAATTCAAGTGAAAAACACATTTCAAAACCTAATATAAATAATTTTTTAAATAGTCACAGTTTTTTTTCCTTGATTGTATTTTAGTTTTAATCCCTGTCTCCTTTTTCCTCCAGTTATATAAAGCCTTGGTTTTATATCCAGGTTAGATGAAATACGTCATTATGTTCCTAAAAAGGTATAAATCTTATCAATCCTCTTTAAGAAAATCGGTTTAAAAATTTACTATGCAGACTTGTAAAAATCTGAAAAAGCATCTCTAAGGCATTGAAGGTAATTGGTAATTCTAGCCAAACAGCTGTGATGGGTTATAGATTATTATATTTTTTGTTTCCATAAAGGGAATTAGTTAGAAGATGTAGCAGTTCTCTTGTTAAAATTATAACTTTTCTTTCCTTTTCTTTTTAGTCAAAAACATGTGAGGGTTTTGTAAAGCATACGTAAGTGTTCACATGACATATCCAATTAATTAAAATCAGTATCCTGAAAATTGTTGATGGTTGAAAATAACATTCTAGCATAAACTGGAAAAAAATTTCCCATTCCTGACGGGCTTATCAATCCATTATAGTTAGACTTTCATAAGGATTTATTTTTTTTCCCAATAAGAATGCAACAACTTTTGGTTTTCGGACTTCAGTCAACTTAGCCTGTACAAGCCTACGGGAGAGACTTTGCTGTCTGAGTCATCTGCTAGAATGTTCTAAGTGTTCTTAGAGTCGCATTCATTTAATTTTAACAATATTTTTCAGAAAACTTCTTTCTTTTATTGTTCATATACTTGTTAATCTTTAAGAGAGAAAAAAGCACATGGAAACTTGCTCTGAATGGGAACAGGTATTTTAAAGAAAGCCATTTTCATTTCTTTTAAAAAACACTATATAAATGTCTAAAGTGAGTCCTGCATGTGGGTAAACAGAAGTCTTCCTTCCTCCTCCTGCTCCCCCCGCCCCCCAAACCCCTCTCCCTCCTTTCCTTTCTTCTCAATAAGCCAGTGGTAAAGAACCACATCATGACTTTTACGACTGCTTTAATTGCCATATATTGTTGCAGGTGCTGTGGCCATTACTCAATATTTATAGTTCAGGCAGCAGATTCCATAATACCTCTATGGTGTACGTTCTTCTCTCTTTGCCAGACTGGGTGTATTTTTATTCACTTCGAGCCAGCTTCCAGTATGTGGCCAACTCACCCATATCTTATAAGTCACCACAAACCACCCACAAAAATTCAGGAGTAAGTTAGTACAGTACATAGACTATTTTGCGTATGCATTTTTGAGCAGGGCGTGTTGGTGGTCAGAGATCTGGGGCATAAAACCTCATCAAGTTTTACCAATGCCAAGACTGCTACTACAGCAACTCCTGGCAGAGAAGAGCTTCTCGGTGGAAAATATTCTAGGCAAATGCTCCATGATCCCTCAGGCTGGAAGCTCAAGAGACTTACTCAGCCGACGACCATAGAAAAATGATCCCACTAGACCCTGTCACTTGTAGATGCTATGTTGAAAGTTTGGCTTGCAGGTAAGCTGGGTTGGGTGCAGGGTGACTTGTGAAGATAGGAGCTGGTGTTTCCTATCAGAGTGTGAAGAACTTGTTTGTAAAGGGGTCTTATGATTTCCTGAGGGCATATAACCTTTGGTTCAATTCCTCTTGCCAAAGTCTCTGCAAGTTGGCAGACTCTGGAGTTCTTTGCTTCTGATGTCTACCTTAGATTTTATTTACAAAAAAAAATTTTTGGCCTAATCCTTTTGCCAAATTGGCATTTGTTTCCTTCCACCCTTCTACTTTGCACTTGAGAATAGAGTCCATTTTTTCTAAGTCAGTCCTTTTTATTTGGTTATAAAAGGCAGAGCCTCTTGCCCATAAAAACATGGCAACATTAATGAATTGAAAACAGATTTTTCTCAACTTTCAAGTGTGTTCCATGCTTTTCCTAAAAGGCATATTAAATAATTCTACATGAACAGGCTAAACTGTTTTGCATATGGCCGCTTTTTTTTTTGTACAAAAATAACGTAAGCAGTTCAGGGGAAAATGTGCAGCTGTTTGAAGAGAGTTGGGCTTCCCTTTCCCCTGAATGGGTGTATTTTCTTTCCCTACACTATTTATTGGGGCATAAGTGTTTAATAAACATGATATTCAAAGTCATAGCCCATGACCATAGCTCCTTCCCTCATCCCATCCAACAGAGTATGCCATGCCTGCAATTGCCTACTTCGCATTTCTTCTGCAATGTCTTCAAAACGCCTCACACTGACCAAGGCCAAGTAACATCAGGAACCCCCTCCTGCCCCCATTCCACAAGCCTGTCCCTCCTCCAGCTGTCCCTTGTGAACGGCTGCTGAACACTCAGGTGAATTCAGGAGAAACCTGGGACACATTCTTGTCATTTTCTTCTTCCTCGTCGTCCTCTCCCATCGGTTCTTCACTGAGCCCTGCTGATTGGATCTCAAACTCATACTTGAAACCCATCAATCAGCCTGGTGCCCATCCAGTGTCGCCCTCTTAGTTGGCGCCATCACCAGCCATCACCACATCAACAGCAATAGCCTCCTATGGAGGACGCTACTTCCAGGAGCCCACCTCAGATTCTTCAGTGAGGATGATATTTTTAGTCATAAATTAGAACAACTCTCTCTTTAAAGTCCTAGATTCTTGCAATGGCCTGCACCCCCTGTGTGATTAGGTTCCTGCCTATTTTTCTGTCTGCCAGTTCTGCTCTCCTTCTTACTCACTGCACTCCAGCCACACTGGCGAAATTTTAGTTCCTGGGATGCACCCAGCACAGGGCCTTTGCACGTGCTCTCCCTTTGGCCTGTGTTGCATACTCTCCCCTCCGACTTTACCTAACTCCTACTCAACCTTTGCGTCTTTATCTTAAAACATCTTCTTAAATCACATCCTTGTTGAAACTCTCATAGCTCTCTGCTTTACTTTTTCTTCATAGCATTAAGCACAGGATGATATAAAACTAATTATTTTGCTAATTAGTTGCTCCCCTACTAGAACCTAAGTTACAAGAAAGCCTTATCTCTGTTGAATGAATGAATAAGTGAACAATAAGGGATAAATAAAGTAGTCCCCATTTTTTAGATGGAAGGACCAAGGCTCAGAAGTCATCACTGATTCCTAAATCTCTCAACCTTACAGTTGTAAGGTTGTGGAGCAGAGATTCAAATGTAAGTCTTTTTGGATCTGAAATCCAAGCTCTCTTCCCCACGGTTATATATGTCAACTGTTTAACATAAAGGAAATTTGCAGTCCTCTACACTTTATGTACACCTCACATAGGTCTTGAAGTAACCCTGAGTTGAGTACTATTATTCTTGTTTTATAGATGAGGAAACTGGCTCAGAGAGATTAAGAAACACAGGAAATGGCAGGGCTGTCATTTGTATCCAGACTGCCTCCCTCAGAGCTCTTAATTCTGAAGCCTAGCCTGCGCTTCACAGCACTCTCACCTTCCTTGTGCTGTGTTTGAGCGTGGCGCGGGACTCTGCAGGCTTGCTCAAGGCCTGCGCTCTTGCGTTTACCCTGCTCTGCTCTGTATTTCCAAGACTGGTCCATTCCTTTGTCCAGGCTCTGTTAAGTGGCCACCAGGAGGGGGCAGTGACGGGAAATGGGAGGGTAGGAGAAAGGAAAAGCCGGAGTGTTTCTCCTTGCTCACTCTGAGTGGTGCTGGGCAGTGTTTATATCTTCTCCTTGGTTTTCTCTCTTTCTGAATGCCCTTCTCTCTGTGGTTCCTGCTAACGCCACTTACCAGTGGCCTGCGTAGTAACTAGTTAGTAGTGGCCTCTGAGCTGATGCTGGGACTGGTGGCCTACTAGTGGCTGGAGGGACAAAGGGAAGAGGTGGCAGAGCCTTCACGTTTTGGCTAAGTTCTGGGTGGCCTCACGCTTCCCTCACTTGGCTTCTCACCTCTCATAGAACCTGTGTAACACAGTCCCTGTATTTTAAATGTCCCTTATTGAGCTGGCACAGGCCTCAGGTCGCTGCTGCCAGAGTGCTCATCGCACTGCCCCATGTCTTACCTTCTTGCAGCCAAGTTGGTACTTAGCTGTGAATGAGAAGCCATGACAAAAGCCCTCTCAGGTTTGTGTCAGTTCCTTTCTGCACCCTTAGGGTACTTTTAGGACATCAAGGCAGTAATGTGCTAGGTGATACCCTAACAACACTGATGGACTAAAGCCGACTCCACAGGTGCTCAATGTACAACTGGGGATTCGCTAATTAAGAGGGAGAACCTCCTTCATTAGAAAGAATGATGTTTAATTATATTGGAAAAGTCCACAAAACAAGGCGTTTCCGCAGATGTCAGCCTCGTGGTCCCGGCCCTATACTTGCTGAGTCTACCCTCCCAGCTTTTTTCTGGCCACCGTGGTACTCGGGGTTATGGGGAGAGAGCAAGAAGAGACAAGCTTCGCAGCCGGCTGTAGTTCTTATAGCTTTCCTCAGCTCCAGAAACAAACCACCTGCTACTCTGAGAATCATTACCCAAAGAAGCAAGAATATGGTTCTTTCAGAATCACTCCAGATAATCAACGACCACCCACCTTCTCCTGCTCCCAAAACAAAGTAAGAAAAAACAGGCAAAATGAGCCTGGTACAAATCCAGTATTCTAATACATTAATAGTTAATGTGCCATCACAGAGAATGTGGCATAATAATAGATTCATGACACAATGTCTCTGACTGATTACTGAAAGTTTTTGGTCAAAAAGTATAAAAAGTGGTTCCCATTCCCCCAACATGAAGCTTTTTTTTTTTTAAGTCTGTAATGTAGAATGCGAATAAATAAAGTATGACTGAATGTCATTTTCTAGCTGGGGTATCATCCCTGATGTTATCAATTTTAATAGCTACTTAAATATGTCAAGATCTATTTAAGTTCAGACAAGCACAACTAACATTCAAGTCAGTTTGTTAGAAGTAGAATGACTAGATTTGGGTGATACTTAGTAAATTTGTGCTTATGTTTTTTTCTGAGCAAATGAACTGAAATAATTATAAAATTGAAACATTTTATAAGGTGACACTACTGCATTTAATTGTATGAAATTTACTGTGTAGAAAATGTAATCATTTTATTCAGCAGTCCATGGCGTAATTAAGACTATTCTTTTGAGGTATCTTGTATTTATGATTTTTCTCTTCCACCTGGATGAGATGTCTCAAATTCAAAATTATACATCAATTAGGTATATTCTCAGGATCCTTTTTAAGGAGACTGTTTTCTAATAGCATGTGTATCCCTGGTTTTATTATCCACAGGTATGCTTTTGCAATCAGAACATAGAAACAGAAGCAGAGACACAGATCAGATAGTGCTCTGGACTTTTTCAATTTTATTTGGGAAAGGGACCACACAGGACGAGCCACGGTTTAATAATAAAGTAATGTTGCAGCATATAGTGCGTGATGTGCAGTAAAGATCCTTTTAAATTCCCATCAGAGCACACACCATGAACTGTGCTAATGGATGTAACATATTTTACAAAATCTGCATGTGTGAAGCTTTTCCATCCTGTTTTAAGTGGGGCAATGTATATAAATAATAGATATTAGCAATTAAGCATCCATTCCTATGCACTCATTTATACATTTGAAAATAAATTAACCACAAATGACATGAAAGTGGATGCAATCTTCTCTTTTCCCTTCTGTTTCCCCTGCTGTTCCTGAAAGATATTTCTGTATTTATCTCAGTACGAACAGTGACCCCAGCTCTCAATTTCTACATCCTTAAATTAATTACTATAAAAAATTCTCTAAAATGAAGTGAGTCTGACTTAACTCTTCATTTCCTTGATGTTTGTTCTTTAGGATAATGAGAGTTTCTTATCACTATTTGTGGCCTTAGTGGGTTTTATTACTCTCTTTTTCATCCAGGTACCAAAAGTCCTTCCCTCGATGGGAGGATTTTTTACAATGGGAACAAGAAGGGCGGGTGATTTTCTATGCTGTTATCTTAAAACCAGACTTTCCTGAGTTGTGCTGGTCTTAGCCCAGGCCTTCAGAAAATAACCTAATTCAACTGTCCTCGTGATTCTCCTGTACTCTTTTGAAGAAAGAATAATTGGTTATTTTTCCTGCATGAGAGTTCTATTAATTGCTATTTTAACGGAGTAGTCATTTTGGCCCTTCCCTGAGAACATAAGGAATTTCGGGTATCACGCTGGCCACACCAGCCCCTTCCAGGGTCCCTGATAGGACAGATCATAGTGGTTCCAAAGCTGCACTGTGTTCTACGATGTGAGTCTATGCAATGGCGATTTCTAATTCTGGGATCAAACAACGAAGATCCATTACAAGTAAGATCCATGCTTGCATGATACTATCTGATAAAATACTTTGGCATCAAAATGTTTTTCAGAGAACTCTCCTGTGTTGCCTGTTTTCTTAATTGGTGTGAAACTCTAATGAAGCCAGAAAACGTGGGCATCTTGGATTCGAGGTTGTAACCTGGCAGTCTACAGGCCAGAGTTGGCCCAAGGCTGTGTGTCGTTGGGAGTGTTTGTGGCTTCATAAAAGAAATAGAACTATTGGCAACACTTACAATTTTAGAGATTTCACAAAGCACTCCTGATCTGGCAGCTTTGGGCCTGTATTTCCTTCCTGCAGCAGTTAGCTGGAGCTGAGCAGAGGCAGGGCTCTTCACCAGGCCACAGCCCTCACCAATCCCTATTGTTGCTTCCCATTTACATTATTCATGTTGTCTCCTGGCAACCGCAGGCAACTGTGTCTGCAGCTTCTGGTCTAAAGCACCCATGACAGCATTTGTGCAAGACACCACATATGTAACATGTGCTAGAAATTTTCTCTTCCCTTACTTTCTAAAACTGTGATCATAATAAAAGCAAAAATTGAACACATATTATGTGACAGGTTGTGTACTGGTTGCTTTACACATGTTATTTCATGGGATCTTGAAAACACCCTCTGGTGTGTTACTGGCTCCATCATATAACCCAAAGGCGGAGAGGCAGAGGTGGTAAAAGACGTACCCAGTGTTATACAGTTAATACATTTCAGAGCCAGGACTTAAACTGATGTGATTCCGAAGTTTCTCTTATACAGAGTTTATTTAATTTTTTTCTTATTTTGAAAAAGTAAATATGAATTTAAACATAGATCAAAAACTGTACTCTAGTACATTTTCCTTTGAGAAACTCCTCCTAGCTTTATTTAAATGCAAATGTAGATATTAAACACTTCAAAATTCTTGAATGGTTTATGTCTCCTGTAAAGGTCACTGTGAAGTTAACCTGAGTAAAATTCATATGGAGTCCATGACTTTGAACTTGGCTATGCTGATCATTTAGCACCACATCAATTTGAAATTGACTTTGCAAATGGAACATGCCTTTGGTGTCGCATGCAGGGATGGTTGGGTATAGGTTTGCATTGATCAGAATGCTGAGGAAGTGATATTACCTAGAGGAACCAACCCTTTGTCACAGGTTGCTGATTAAGCATCTTGATATTTTACATAGCCTGTATTTATACCTTTCCAGCATTTCAATAGCATTCCACTCTGCCTTCGTCTCCTCTCTACCTAGAGTCTCGGGCTAATAGTCCCAGATCTGAGAAAAGAAAGTTTGCCATTTTTCTTTATCCATTTCATAGCCCTATAGCAAGAATGATTACACCTCACTCCAGCTATTTAAAACACTTTGCCTCTGATTTCCAGCTTTGAGAGCAAACAATCTGCCAAGCACCTCGTAATTGCAAGGTGACCTTGACATGTGTCATTCACCAGGGTTTTCAAATCGAAGTCTTCCTCTTTAATATTCATAAAGCCTTTTTTCCCCCTAACAGCATATGTGATGATTTTACAAGGGCTGGGGGTTGGGGAGCTTTATTTAGAGATGGGCTGATTCTGAGAAACATACCATCAGTGTCTCTCTGATGAGCTGAAGTATCAGTTTGAAGGTAAGAAAATCTCGTCTGGCATTCTTCAAGGGAGGACAGTGATGTGCTGTGTTCTGACAGTTTTTTCTCACTGGGAGTTTCCTTGGCTGGTCCATCTGTGATATTGAATTCGGATACTGAATTTATAACGATAGCATTCATGGGTTTCTCTTCTGCAAGTTTTTCATTGGTAAGTTGGGTATCTAGATGAAAAAAAAAACACATACACAAGCTCACTAGAGTTGACACAACCTAGTAATCTAAGAATGGACATTTGTAGAAAATTTTACATTCTCAACTTTCACAAGAATAAACTTTTTTTTTAAATGAAGCATTATTGAATAGGAAATTGTGAATGAAAACACAAGAATAAAAGAGTGCAGCAATTATAAAATTTTACACACATTCCGAGTTTTACCTATCAGAGTAATTTGTGACACTTATTTCTAATGATGGGCGGAGAGAATCAAGGAATTTGTTCACTTGGATCGATAAAATCTTACAGTGTGTTGTCAGCTTACTGTCATAGTGTTTTATGGATCTGAGAAGCAGTCAAAGGGTCTTCATTCTGAGCAGTGCTTCTCAGTAATGGTATGTGATCTCAATCAAGTTGTCTTATTTCTTTGTTTCTACAAACCTCAGTTTTCTCCCCTGTGTAAGAAAAGTGGTTATAACTAAATTGTTGACACACTCATCTCTACTCCTGCCCTCAAAGATGCCAGGTTGCTACCCTTTTCTCTGTTTTGCTGTGTCTTAGGTCCACTATCCAGGTTATGGTCTATATGACTGGGGGATGGGGAGCTGCTGTTTGAAAACATGTTGGATCTTCATGTAATCACCTGGCACAGTTATTGGAGATGCTCAGAGAACCTCGAGCAAAGTGCTTTGTTGGATTCTGGTTTGGAGAGGCATAGAGAAAGCTGAGAAGACTTGGGCTATCAGGTATTAATATTTCAGAACTCCCACATTTAGTCATTCACTCCCACGGCATAATTGAGGGTCTATTATGGGACAAGTACTAGGCTGGGCAGTGTGGATCCAGTGGTGACGAGACAGGCATGGTCCCTGACTTTCCCAAGCATCAAACAAGTTAGCACAAAATAAGTGCTAAAGTTACCATATTGAAGAGGGTACAAAAAAGAAGCACACCATGAAGTCCCATCATAGAGAGAACCAGGCTGAGTATCGGGGCAGTAATGGTACTACTAATCTACACTCATTACATGGAAGAACCCTAAGATAGAGAAAAGAGTTAACAGAAGATATTCTCAAACATGCAGTTAGGCTGACTCCTGGGGACATCCTAAAACTTCAACAAGTACCCATCCTGGTGCCTTGGTGGCACTTTTGGGAGGTGGCAGTGCATTTCCATTGCTGGCCCCATGCTTGCTCGATTCAGTAATGCTCATTGAGTGGCTGGAATAAATAACACAGCTGGCAGTCTGCGCTGACTTTACTGAGTTTACACACCTCAGTGCAAGAATATGTTCTTGCCAAGTCCATTGTCATCATCCTTTCTGAAGCTGCTGCTTAGTTTGGGGCAGATGGAAAGTTCTGCTAGGTCCTACCCCCTGAGACAGTGGTTCCCAGAGCTGTCCACAGAGTAAAATTACCCGGGAAAACTTTTTAAAATTTGGAATTTTTTTAAAGTTCAGACAACCCCTTCTCCCCACAGTCCCTGGGAGATTTTTGAAGTGCCTCAGGTGACTCCAAAGTGCAGACAAACTTGGAGCCACTGCCCCAGGGGCCTTCTGCTTTTGGGAGTGGAGAAAGGAGAGAGCCACATGCTGATCTGTGCGTCAGTGGTTTTCAGAAACCAGCCTTGAGATAGCTGCTCTCCACAGACTCCTAACTGGCACGGGAGTCACCAGTATGGCACACACAGTTGTTTGAGGCCACTTTCATTTCTTTCTGAGTCTCCAAACAGCCTTACTTTCAACAATGTTTAATTTTTATTCTGTACCCCTTATGCTGCTGGCTTTAAATCTCTTGGTTGCCATTTTATTCACCCTAAAAAGGATTGGCAGAAATAGGGGTTCAGAAAAACAACTATTGTTGATAGCAATTAACATAAGATTGAATGGATAGAATTAGCCCCACAGATTGGGAAGCTCTGGGCCTTCTGTAACCCGAAAGAGATTCACCAAATTAAAGATAAGATGATAATGATGATAACAATAGTTTATTTTTCTTGCTTGGGTAATCAGCTAATGTCACAAACAGATAGCCATTTGAATCATGCCTCAGCACTCAGAGAGCAGTATTGACACTTAACTCTTTGTCATGGGGACACTGTAGGATGTTTAGCAGCAGCCCTGTCCTACTCTACCTACTACATGCTAGCAGCACCATCGCCCTAGATTGTGACAAACAAAAATGCCAAATTTCCCCTCTGCGGCAAATTCACCCAGGCTGAAAACCAAACTGCTGCTAATACACACACACACACACACACACACACACACACACA